AATTTTTAATTAAACCTATGTGTGAAAAATGAAAAGGGCTCTCCTCTGGTGCCAAGGGCAGTTTTATGTGAAAGCATATGAGACACAGAGTTTTGTGTCACTGAAAATTAATATTGCAACCAGCCAACCGTGTAACATATCAATAAGTACTCCCCACTCCCAGAGCTGGAGGAGATGGGTTTAGACAGAGTAAATGGCGGAAGATAACCACACTAATTCTAGGAGGAGAGTTTGATTAACAAAATGGAAGAAGAAGAGAGCTGGTATTTTCTAGTCTTCTTATTAGGAAAGTCACAAAGTTTCCAAAAAAGAAGTAAGAGCTATAGCCATTATCAACACATTTCCCATAACTAAAATGAGGATTTTAATTTGCCTGGTAAAGACTTGCAGATCAAGCTAGGAAAACCTTGTCATTGGGTACACATGTAACTACGTTCTTTTATTACTCTTGAGTTTATCAAGGTGTGTTTTATGGCCCAGAATGCCATCTATGTTGAATGTTCTGTGTGACCTTGATTAGAATGTGTATTCTGCTTTTGTTGGATGAAACAGTCAATGAATGTCAATTACATCCAGTTGATTGATGGTGTTGAATTCACCCATGCCCTTGCTGGTTTTCTGCCTACTGGCTCTGTGTGTTTCTGACAGGGGTGCTGAAGGCTGCGGTCCTCGCAGTTCCAGCAGTCTGTGCTGTGTGTACACCTGTCAAGGATTGCTACATGTTTTTGGAGAATTGAACCCTTTGTTATTATAGAATGCCCCTCTTTGTCCCTTGCTCTGGCACCTACTATATCTGAAATTAACAGATTTACTCCTCCTCTCTTTTGATTTGTGTTGGTAAGGTATATCTTTCTTTATTCATTCCTTACTGATAATCCACGTGTGTCTATATGTAAAGTAGTTTTCATTTAAAAAAAAAAAAGATTGATGTGAGAGAGAGAGACAGAGCAAGCAAGAGCGAGGGAGCGAGCGCTTCCATCTGCTGGTTCACTCCTCAGATGGCCGCAACGGCCAGGGCTGGGCCAGGCTGAAGCCGGGAATCAGGAGCTTCCTCCAGGTCTCCCACATGGGTGGCAGGCACCCAAGCACTTGGGTCGTCTTCCGCTGCTTTTCTCAGTCCACCAGCAGGGAGCTGGATCACAGGTGAAGCAAGCAGAACACAAACAGGTGCCCAAATGGGATGCTTTACCCACTACATTACAATACCAGCCCCTAAAGTAGTTTTCTTGTAGATAGCCTATTGGTGGGTCATATTTTTTGATCCATTCTGACCATTTCTAATTGTGTTTGAGCAAAAGTGGTTATTGATGTAGCTGGATTGATACCTACCATGTTTGATATTGTTTTCTATTTGTTGCCCTTGTTCTTTGTTACTATTTTTGTCTTCTACTTTTTTATTGGTGTTTGTCTTTTTAACTGAGCATTTTATATGATTCCATTCACCTCCTTTCTTAGGATATAACTTTTTTAGAGCTCTTTTAGTGTTTGCCCTAGAGTTTGCAATGTACATTTACAATTCCAAGCCCACTTTCAGAGAACACTATACCACTTTATGAATATTGTGCCTTCTTATAACAAAATAATCCAAATTCTTCTGTCCCATCCCTTGAATCATTGCTTTTCCTTAAATCTATCATATGTACACATATATGTATATTTTATGTGATGTATAATATACACATAATCAAATGCATTGTTGTTATGTTGAATAAATTATGATAGATTAAGAATAAGAAAAAATGTTTTAACTTTACCTTCACTTACTGCATCTTCAATGTTCTCTCTCTATGTAAATTTAAGACTCTGATCCATACCTATTATTTTTGTTCTCTCTAAAGAACTTTCACTGTTTCTTGCAGGGCAAATCTACTGACAACAAATTCTCTCAATTTTTGTGTGTCTGAGAAAGTCTTTATTTCTCCTTTATCTTTAAAGATAACATCACAGAGTATAGAATTCTAGGTTGGTAGTTATTTTCTCTTAAAACTTGATTCTCCTTGTTTGCACGGTTTCTGAAGAGAAGTCTAATGTCATTCCCATCTCTGAGTAGCTAAGGTGCTTTTCCCCCTCTGACATCTTTCAAGATTGTTTTTTCTCTAGCGTTCATTACTGTAGTTTGAAAACGATGCCTAGATGTAGTTGTGTTTGTTGTTGGTTTTGGTTTGGGGGCTTTTTTGTTTTTTGCGTTATGTCTCCTTGATGTTTTTTGAGCTTCCTGGATGTGTGGTTTAGGGTCTGACATTAATTTGGAGAAGTTCTCAGGCACGATTATTTTAAGTATTTCTCCTTCTGGTGTTCCCATTGATTGTATGTTCCACCTTTTGTAGTTGTCCCACGGCTCCTGGATATTCTGGCATTTGTCCGTCTTTGTTCTCCTTGTCTCAGTTTTGGATGCTTCTACTGAGATAGCCCCGACCACAGGGAGTCCTTCCCAGGAAAGTCCGGTACACTGATGAGCCCGTCAAAGGCCATCTCCATCTCTTCCACGGAGTTTTTGATCTCTATCATTTTCTTATGATTGCTTCTTGGGATTCCATTGCTCTGCTTGCATTGTCCATCTGCCCATGTATGCTGAATAATTTACCCACAGAGTTCATAGCAGGTTGATCGCAGCTGTTTTAATTCCCACCCTCATCCTCACCCCCTTAGATAACTGCAACATCTCCTCTCTATCTGGTTCTGATGCTTCCCCTGTCTGCAAAAACTGTGCTTTTTGCCTTTTGGCATACCTTGCGTTTTTCTGTGATAATTGAACATGATGGGCTGGGTAAAAGAAGCCGCTGTGAACGGCTGGTGGCAATGCTGTGGGAGCTGTGGGGAGAGAGGAAGCAGTAGGTCTCAGTCTTTTAGTGAGCCTGTGCCTTTTGGACCATAAACTCCACAAGTGTTTCCAAGTTGTTGCTCCACCCTTAGGTGGGACACGAAGGCTAGAGCGGGCTGGAATTGGGAGTTGCTCCTTCTGCAGGTCAGGTAGGCAGTCACAAAGTCCCAGCAGGTGAGGCTGTCCTGAAGGCAGGTCTTGGTAGGAAGGTAGTGCCCCACGTAGTTCAGAGTGGTTCCTCTTCCTCTTCACCTCCCGCTGCCAGATGCATGGAGAGGTTTTTCTCCAGTTTTCACTGTGAGAACCCAGTAGAGCTCCTGGAAGTAACTCACAAAAGCAGGCGGAGTCCTCTGCAGTTTCTAACTCTCACTTTTGCCTGCATCTTCATCCATTTGACAACTGCAGCTCAGGATCTCAGCCCTGGCACTGGTTCCCAGGGAGGGGTCTGCTCTGTATGCTAGAATTCTCTTTATCCACCTGTCCGTCTGTTTCTCCAGTATGGGGGCCAGAGTTTGCCCTGTGACTTCATTTCTCATGTGCATCTGGGAAGAGCTGCTAATTTTCCAGTTTCAGAGGCATGCCCAAAGCCACTGCGTGAGCCAGACTGACACAGGACCTGCTCCACCACCAGCACACCCAACCAGGCCATCTTCATCGTCACAGATGCATCAGGTAAGCTAACCTACACACAAGAGCTTCCACTTAAACCATTCAAGTAGTGTACTTCCAAGGATTGCCTAGGATTTCTGTCTTAACAAATATTTTTACACAAGACACTTAATTTTTTGAGTTTCTAACAAACCAAAGAGAGTTAAAATAGTAATTTGGGTATTTTCACTGAAAAAAAATATATAAAAGAGTTAAGTGTTTTTATGTTTGAATACCACTAAGTCACTAAGGATATCTGAAGTATATAAATTATGTACTTTATACAGAAATATTTAACACATGTGTTTTAACTGAAAATTCAGAGCACTAAGCCAATTCATTCACTTGGATTCCAAAAGGATAATTGTAGGACATAATTGTCTTTTTTTTTTTTAACCAATGGCCTGGTTTATTATCCAAAAGAATTTAAAATAAACACTGTGATGCTTATCCAAGAGAACCATTCCCACACTCGTCTTCCAGCATCTAAAACACCAGCCCTCCTTTTCTCAAAGTAAATTTACATTTGGAGAAAGGGATAACAGATTCTTTATCTCCAGTCTGGAATGTGATAAGGTTATCAATTTGTGATAAAAATTCAAACTCTGGTTTCACAAACTGGCTAGACTATTTGCAGTCATTTTAGGAACAATATGTACACCAATATTATCAGCTTTATTTGCACCTTCTCTAGTTCTTTTTTTCTTTATACACAAATGATAACAATTTATTTGATTTACAGTTTTCTTTGTAAAGGAGTCTGCTGGCCATATGTCCTGTTGCCTCTCAGAGTAGACTTCCAACTGTATCCAATCCAGAGCAGAATCTTCAGTTTAAGGATCTTTCTGGTTTTTGTGTTTCTTTATTCTCCTTTTAAAAAAATCTGTTTACCTTACATAAATGGAAAACACCAGTGAATCCATCTAAGCTTAAAAGAAAGATTAGCCAGTTATAAAACTTCTATTATAACTATTATTATTCTACAATCTTCTTCAATTCCTAATTCAAAAAAAATGTAAGAGGTTGGCATTTGGCACCATGGTTCAGTTATCACTGGGACACATGCACTCCATTTCAGAGTGAGTACGTTCAAGTCCTGGCTCCACTCCTGGTTCCAGCTTCCTGCTGATGCTCACCCTGGGAAGCAGCAGGTAATGGTTCAAGTACTTGAGTCTCTGCCACACATGTGGGAGACCAGGACTGAATTCTCAGTTCGCAGGGAGTTTGTGAAGTGAGCCAGCCCATGGGAGCTCTGCCTGTCTCTGTGTGTCTCTATGCCTCTCAAGTAAATAACAGTTTTTAAAAATAATTAAACAAATAAATGTCAGATTTTTTTAATTTCTCATGTGATATTCTTTTGAAAAAAGAAACACAGAATGTGCAAATTTAGTATTCTGGCCCTTACTGTTACAAAGGAAATAGAACCAAGGAGAATAAAACACAAACAAACAAAATCAAAGAAACCAACAAAATCAAGAAAGGACTGTAAAAAAACAACAGTTAAAAATTTTCAAAGAAATCCACTCTGAAATATTTTTCTTAGTTTCATTTTTAATTATGTCGAAGCTCAGAACAATATTGACATTTTGTAAAGCAACAATGTGGATTTTTAAAAAATTTTCACACTTTGGCATGTTTTGAAAAGCAGAGAATAAAACAGAGCAGGGGAAAAATAGTTCCTAAAATGCTTGCTTCAGGATTTCAGTTACAACTGAAACTTTGTAAAAAGTGCTCCTTCCCTATCTGAAATTCCACTCTATGGAGGCCCTACTCCCAAGTCTTGGCTTTCTTCTAATTCATATTACTATATATCAAAATAATCCTTTATTCTGCTATTCTTTGATTTTTTTCCCTGATGTTTATAATGCTGGGTTTTGACTTCTTGTTGGAAATTAATATTTCTTACCTACCAAACAAACCAACCATTTTCCCTCCTCTCAATGTAGTCATAGCATAATGAATCAACTTTTCTATGGTGCATTATCATGACCATAAATCTGCACCCATGAGCCACATGAGGCTCTGTGATAACGTTCCCCCAAATATTTTCCTTTGCTTGATTTTTTCCCCATCTCAAATTCATCCACATAACCCCCAGAACAAACCTCCAGTCTTGTAAATGCCTGGGGACTGGCAGCTGCCCCACTCCCTGACATGAGGGAGGTGACCCGGCAGCTGGAGCTTGGAGTTTCTGGAGCAATTCTCTGAATGTCAGAGCCACTGAGTTCCCTCCCTCAGAGGTTTCTGCTTCCTGCAAATTCCTGCGGCTCTCTGGGGTTCTGTGGGAGAAGCAGCTTGCCTCTGGCCAGCTCTGCACCCGAGCCTTGGGTTTCAACCATATTCACACCGCTAAATCAGGTATCATTCATTTGCTTTCCCAATCTTGGTTGACGTCTTTTGTCTGTTGTCATTTCCTCTGCTGTTCTCTTTGTTCTTGTGGGTTTGTTCCTGTTTAATCCTTTAATATCCTCTTAGTGAGGTTTATAGAGGGATCATAAATAAATGCATCTGTTCAATCCACCATGATTATCCAGAAGTCTTTGTACTGATTATTTGCAAAGCATGATTTTCTATGGCTTTTGAAAAAACATATTCACGTCATATCTCTTTTGTCTACTCAGTTGTCTGCGAGTAAGTCCGATCAATTAGAATGGATCTTTTTAGAAGTGGGGCCAACGCTAAGTCCCAGGGAAAATGGTAAAGCAGATGAACTTCATGTTCAGTGCTGTTAGCCTCCCCATCCTTGTGCCATTCTCCCCACTTGATGGCACCCTTCCCCGAGATCCACTGTCTTCACGTTCTCTCCAGGAAAGTAGGTCTTGGGGAGTGAAGCAAGGACCCCTGAAAACTATTCCACCTAGAGCATAAATGATTGACATCTTTATTAACATATTAACACAATGTTAATACAACAAACACGTCTACAGTGAAATAAACTGGGATCTCCAAAGATATGTTTTTGGAAACCGTCTGTTTGCACAAGAATGTACTGAGAGGAGTAGGATACAAGGAAACACAAGTGCAAAAGGACAGAGAAAATGCAATGGGAAAGAGCAACAGAAGACAGGTTGGGACAGTGTCCAATTTCAAGAAGTAATTTATTGTTTTCCCTCCTGAACATGAAAATCTCTAAGAAGCCAGAGTAAAAAAGAAAATTCTATGTGCTTCAGAAGCTATAGTAAGGACAAAGCACTGTGAAGATACAAATATCATGAAAATTCTTTTTGTCTTGTGAATAAAATCATAAAATAAGGAGCCAGTGCTGTGGCGTAACAGTTAAATCCACCACATCCAGTGCCAGCATCCCATATGGGCACTGGTTCGAGTCCCAGCTGCTCCACTTCCGATCCAACTCTCTGCTATGGCCTGGGAAAGCAGTAGAATATGGCCCAAGTCCTTGGGTCCCTGCACCCACATGGGGGACCCAGAAGAAGCTCCTGGCTTCTGGCTTCAGATCGGCCCAGCTCCGTCTGTTGCAGCCACTTGGGGAGTGAACCAGCGGATAGAAGACTTCTCTGTCTCTCTCTCTCTCTCTGCCCCTGACTCTCTGTAACTCTGACTTTCAAAGAAATAAATCTTTTTTAAAAAATCATAAACAGCATCCCACATTCCATTTTTACTCCTCCACAGTTAATGCCAGGGAATGTCCTGACTGCCCTGGTGAATGGTACCAGTAACTATAGCAATCAGGTTTCAGATAAGAGCAGCCAATGCATTACTTTGGACCACTCCCAGCTCAAATATAAAGGAAAAGAAGCCACTATTTACCAGAAAGACAGCACTGCTTTTTGACATAATGTGCAAGGAACTCCAGTAACTACTAGAAACAATTACTGGACCTGTGTAGGGGCATGATCACTAAGACACGATCAGCACACGCAGAGAATTGAAGCAAGATGCTGTTGCTTAAAAGAAAAAGAGCAAAAACACCTGACGAATCAACCTCAATATGCATCTTAATGTATGTGTTGATTTACTTGGAGAGGAATTTGAATTTGCTTATCTGTACATCAGGAGACTGGATCCATGGTTCCCAATATGAAGCGATTTAAAATACCTAATGCTCAAAAGTTAATCAAGTCTCTTCCAATATCGAGTCACTTTTAAGTCTCAGTCTTTTTCTTACATTATTATATGTTAGTGTAGTTCTATGTTTAAATTACAAAAAAAATTATTTTAAGTGTAACAAGTGTTCAGTTGAAGGTCAACGGTGATAGCTTCAGGGTCTACCTGGTGCTTGGCAATGACAGACTGGTTGAGAGGAAAGCTACAGGATCATCGTGAAAATGAAAGTACACAGGAAGTACTTGCTCTTTGCTTAGATTGTATACTACATGTTAACAATAGGTCTCAAAAGATGTTTTTACTCCATTAAAGATATTTTAATCTGTTAGATTAAGAAAATGTCAATCACCCATATCAAATAATGACAGTACATGAAATCACTTCGGTATGCAAGTCTTCAAAACAGTGATGCTCATCTTGGCTTTGTTCATGCTGTGATATATGAACTTCCCTTCAAATCTACAGGGGACTGGGTCCAGGACCCCCAAAGATACTCAGATCTGTGGTTGCTGAAGTCCCTTGTATAAAATGATGTAGTGTTTTCATATAACCTGTGGACATTTGCTCATGTCCTTTACATTACATGTAGTACCTAGTGCAGGGAAAATGCTCCATAAACAGTTGTTACACTGCATTGTTTAGGGAATAATGACAAGTAAAAAAAAAAGTCTGTGTGTGTTCAGTTACAGACATTGTAGACCTAACTACATATTTGAACTGCACTTGGTTGAATCCATGGATGCGGATATGGAGGAAACATATACCACTTGAGTATTCCAGCAAGTTCTCCCTGGCTAATGACATCAAGGGTTGGCAAATGCAATGTCAGTGCTTGATGAGAACAGATGTTTAGTAATCTTTGATCTTAAAGATCACATCTTCTCTGCAAGTACTAGATGACATGGGTGGCATTGTGGTGCTGCAGTCTAGGCCACCACCTGTGACGCCAGCATCCCTTGTGAATGCTGATTCAAGTCTCAGATGCCCCACTTCTGATCCAGCTCCCTGCTGATGTGCCTAGGAAAGCAAAGGATGTCAAAAGTGCTTGGGCCCCTGCCACCCACATGGGAGATCCAGATGGAGTTCCTTGTTACTGGCTCCTGGCTTTGGCTTGGCCCTGCCCCGGCTGTTACAGCCATTTGGGAAGTGAATCACCAAATAGAATATTCTCATTCTCTCTCTCTCTCTCTCTCTCTCTCTCCCCTCTCTCTCCCCCCCCTCCCTCCCCCTCCATCCCCCTTCCTCCCCCTCCCTCTATATGTAACTCTGACTTTCAAATAAATAAACAAATATAAAAGAAAAAAAGTACTAGATGAGGATTCAGTGTGTTAAGCTCCTGGCCTAGCTCTGTGAATCACATTAAGATCTGGACAAATAATCTCATCTCTTCATGTCCTCCATATTCTTGTCTATAAATGGGGAGAATATCTCATTTGATCCTCACACTCTTATAAGGCAGGTAACAGGCAGGAAAATCCTTTGAAAAATACAAAGCAATATGAAAATATTCAATAAATATCATTGACTGACTTGGGACTTCCAGAAGTATGTATGTAGCATCTAAGTCAAATATCATGTTACTACAAATGTCTGCTCGTTTGTGCAATCCACTGTCTTCTCCACATACTCTTCGTTTTTTATTATAGCTCCACCAGCCAGTGAACTTTATACAAAGTCTCTGACTTCTAAGCACAACTCTATGAAGCAGGTTCTTTATGATGGTTAACAAAAGGCATTTTTTCCTCTATGCAGGCCCTGGAAATTTCTTACCTAATTTTCTTTTTAAAGATTTATTTTATTTATTTGAAAGGCAGAGTTACAGAAAGAGAGAGAGAGAGAGAGAGAGAGAGAGATCTTCCATCTGCTGGTTCACTCCCCAAATGACAGCAATGGCCAGGAGCTTCATCAGGGTCCTTTTCCTTGGGGGGAAGGGGCCCAAGCACTTGGACCATCTTCCACTGCTCTTCAGGCACATTAGTAGGGGGCTGGGTCAGAAGTGGAACAGCCAGGCCTCGAACCAGCACCCACATGGGAGGTTAGTGTTGAAGTGGGGGCTTAACCCGTTATGCCACAACACCACCCCCTTCTTAGCTAAATTTTCTATGGAAGTTTTTTTTATTTCTAAATCATTGTTCAGGGGCCGGTGCTGGGGTGCAGTAGGTTAATGCCCTGGCCTGAAGTGCCAGCATCCCATATGGGCGCCGGTTTGAGACCCGGCTGCTCCACTTCCTGTCCAGCTCTCTGGTATGGCCCAGCAAAGCAGTAGAAGATGGCCCAAGTCCTTGGTTCCCTGCACCCACGTGGGAGACTGGGAAGAGGCTCCTGGCTCCTGGCTTCAGATCAGCACAGCTCTGGCCATTTCGGCCATCTGGGGAGTGAACAATTGGATGGAAGACCCCCCTCCCCCGCCTCTCCTCTCTCTGTGTAACTCTGACTTTCAAATAAATAAATAAATCTTTAAAAAAAATCATTGTTCAATTTACAGGAAGAATACAAGTCATTTTAGGGTCCAGAAAACAGACACAGCTTAACGGTATTCACAGCAGCAGGCAGAAACTCATTAGCACCTAGGACCTAGGAACACCTACCAGTGGTTTTCTCAACATTCCAAGAATGAGAACTTTGTTTTAATGTCAAAATACATCCATGACAAAACACACAATGATGATAAAACTCTAAAACTAGTCATGTATCTGAGTGAATCTGTCTACATTTGAAAATTAGCGCACAGAGATTGGTGAGCAGAGATGGAAGGACTCATCAGTTTTTGAACCATACGATGACAACCACTGACTTACACCTAACTCTAACCATGTCTTTTGTCTTACTGTAGAAAATCATTAATTTCTCACTGAAACAAAATGGAAAGAAATAGGAAAAATTCATAAGTTGACCTGGCAAGTTTCTGCCTAATAGTTCTCATTTTAAATCTAGGGATTTATACTTATTTATTTGAGAGGCAGAGAGACAGACAGACAGAAGTGAGGGGCAGCTCCTATCTACTGATTCACACTCCAAATGCCCACAGTGGCCAGGGCCAGGCCAGGCTGAAGCCAAGAGTACAGGACTCAATCCACATATCCCACATGGGTAGCAGGGACCAAAGTACTTAAGCCATCACCTTTTGCCTCCCATGGTCCTCATTAGAAGGAAGCTAGAGTCAGGAGTCTGAGCTGGGTATTGAACTCAATACCCCAGTGTTTGATGCAGATGTCTTTAAAAAAAAAAAAGTATTTATTTATTTGAGAGGCAGAGAGAGAGGGCTCCCATCCACTGGTTCATTCCCTACAGGGCTGCAAGGGCCAGAGCTGGGCTGACCTGAAGCCAGGAGCTTCTTCCAGGTCTCCCATGTAGGTGCAGGGGCCCAAGTACTTGGGCCATCTTCCACTGCTTTCCCAGATGTATTAGCAGGGAGCTGGATCATAAGTGGAGCAGCCAGGACTCGAACTGATGCCCATATAGGATGCTGGCCCAACACAGGTATCTTAACCTGCATCTAAATCGTTAACACCAAATGCTCACCTCTGCTTAGTTTTTTAACCCAAATTATTTCCCATTAGAAAAGAAAAAAGTCCAGGCAAGTATTTTTAACTACATAGTGTTTATTGTCTGTGACAGTGATTCTCATCAATGTCAGATTTAATAACCTCTTTTTAGAGCAAGTACTCTGAAATGACCCCCTAATTTAATAGTCTATCATTTTCCTATTGCAGTGAGACAAACCATTCCAAAAACAGTTACTTCCCATGACTCCGCAGGTTGACTGGCAGTAGTTTTGCTTCACGAGGTATC